TCTCACGCTGCGTTGCAGGAGGAAATACAACATTTTAAATTAGAATTCTACTAAAATTAATATCTAAATACACAATTCGTAACACTGTTATTGGCGATTGTTTAACGCTCAGATACCGTGAATACTATTTTGTATATATATTTTTTTGGCTACTTGAGGTGATATTTTTGCGTTTAGTTATTGCTTGCTCTAAAACTGCTGTTAGTGATGTTGTAATTAACTATCAGGAGATTATAAAGGAAAATTTAAGGTGGGAGTTTTCAAACAAGCGTAAAATTTTGGGAAAAGATATTTTATGTATGAATTAACAATAGAGTATGAACTTTTTAGAGGATTTTTGATGGATTGTCGATTATTGAAGGATAACGTTTTCTGTGAAAAATGTAAGATACCATGCTGGTTAGTTAGTCAGAAAAAGTCATCGAATGGTAGTATTTGCAAGAAATGTACGGCTGAGAAATCAATTAGGCTAGGATCTTGATTCGCCTGTAGTAAGCTCAATTTTTCTAGAAACTTTTTTTTTTTTTTTTTTTTTTTTTACAACGCGAATCAATGGAGTTGCTTATGCGCGAATTTCTGCAATTCTCCGATTTCTTTTAAGTGAAAGCAGATTTCTTAGTATATGAGCAATGCAGAGTTTATTCAATTTCTGATTTTTAAGTGAAAAGAGATCGCTATATACATGGGCAGAGCACTACAGACCAGGCTTCCGGCCTCAGGTATAACCAATCGGAATAGTGCCTGACCTGTAGAAATTATCTACTATCTACTTCCGCCACTGCCAGGGCGAGCCCCGCAAACCAGCGGCATTTATTGAGTCTAAGTCAGAAGTTACCGATTCACAGTAATGGTTGTTACAATGGCACCTTTGCAGACGTTGTCTGCTACATGAAAAGATGTAAGTGCTGTACTGAGCTGAGTATTATTCATACGCGCGTGTAATTACAATTGCTCTGATTGTGTAATGTTCCATCGGCAGTAATGGGTTAAGAGCACTGCATGAAATTTAGTACATTGAGTTAGTAAGGTGTCCGGACTTCACTACAAATCGTTATTGGTGAACTTGGCTTAATCTATGCTGCGTATCTGTCCGTGTCACATACTAAAGACATACTGTACATACATACATAGCATGATGATATACATAGCATGAAGATTACATACATAGCATGAAGATTATACATAGCACTAAAAATTACACATAGCATTAAAAAAATATACATAGCATCAAACATTATTACTGTTTTGCTCAATGAACAAATTATATAACTTACTATCCGCACAAATATTGTACTCATTAGTAGCTGTGCACACAGAATATTATAAACATTAAATAGGTCCTAGCAGCCACACGTTATTTACATATTACATAATATATGCGTTTCATAATATGCGCTTACATAATATATAGGATTATAAGATAAATAATTAAATACTCGAATGCAGAACATTGCAAATTTGAATAGGTAAGTAAATGAATGATACTGAGATACATTAATAACGATTAATAGTGAGTAACTAAAGAATAGTATTTAATACTAAAGCTCATAAGTGCATAACAAAGTTCGCAAATAGTACTATAAGTTTCAAAATTTCTTAATTTAATGCAAAACATACAGCTGTGTTTCAGGAATTTTGTGCGGAAATCGAAATGATGCAACTATCTTATAACTATTAATACTAAGTAAGCGCATGATAAATTCTAGATTAGATATGCTTGCTTAGTAGGTTACACGATTTGCAATAAGGCATAATTACATAGCAGTAAAATAAAAAATAAAGAATATAGGGAAGTGCTATGGCTGACATGACTTAGTGCGCATTTTGATTACATGACACTTCTTGGTAATATGCAATAAAAACATAAGAGATAAAAATGGCAACATACTGAGATGAATGAGTACTAAGAATGAAGTTTCTGAGTACAGTAAGCAAAGCACAGAATACCATGGTACAATGATTAAACAAGCATGAAATTTTGTACAACTGGCAACACATATTATTGATACGCATACAGGATCTTGCTTACATTACTTATGGCAATGCTTAAATATACATAATATAATACATTCTTAAGATAATTTGCTTATGAAACATACTTATAAGAGTGTCAGTTCATTACTTAATGCTGATGGGAATCCACTTACATATATATACGTTGGATTATGTATTTACTACATTCAATTTAAGTGGAAGGCATAAGATTACGATTATAATGATTAAATTAATATATTAGACACGTTAATGTGTTGACAACATATACTGTAGTTACAAAATTCAGATTAAAATGAAAGCATATGATATCAATTATAATAATTAAGTTAATACTATAAACACATCGAGGATGATTATTACAGTCAAGTAAAAGTCACATAAAGTGTAGTATTTAAGGTAATACGTTAAATGCATCTAACGAATAGGATAAGAGTATGATGAAAATAATATGGACATAACAGTAGCAAACAGATATTACTTATCTGGTAGCAGGGTTATGCGCTGGGAGGTATTAGGTGACAAATGAAAAGTGTACCCTGCAGAACTTGATGATCTTGTGAAGCTTAAAGCACGCACCCCTCCGTTCTAGTAGCACTTTTGTCCATTCCCTCCAATATCTATCTGAAGGAGGACGCATGTGGTGCGCCTCTGTCAATCTGCATGTAAATGCATAATGGTCTGGCGTTCCGATTAGTCCACATTCACAGAGATCATAGTCTCTAAGTCCAAATCTGTGTAGGTAATCAGGAAACGGGCCGTGCCCAGAGAGGAACGTAGTCAATGAAGATGAGTTGGAGAAGACAAGGTCTGTAACTTTTGGGATAAATTTATACGTCCTTCGACCTGTCCGGGAAGTATCCCATCTCTGCTGCCATTCTGCGTAAAGGTCGCCGCGTGTAATCTTTTTGAGATAAGAGGAAGGCAGAGGTAGAGCATGTTCTGGCAGGAAGATACCCGAAGCCGCTTGTTTTGCCTGTTCATCCGCCAGCTCGTTGCCGACTACACCTGTGTGCGCTGGTACCCAGCTAATGATGGGACGATAATTGAGTGGGAGGTTGACTAATGCCCTTTGTATGTTGAGTACGAAGGGGTCTCGGCTGGCTGGTCCTTCTATGGCGGCTATGCTCGACAGTGAGTCACTATAGATATAGACAGTTTCTTGGTGACCATATGAGAGATCGATTGCTTTTTTAATAGCTAACAATTCAGCTTGGTAGACTGTGTTGTTCGGATTGAGTCTACGTTTCCAGCGGTATTTGATTTCTCCATCGATCATTGTGCATAAGCCGCATCCAGTGCCATCCTTTGTTTTGGAACCATCCGTGTAGATGGCTATTGAGTTCTGCCGACAGAGAAGTGTCTGCGTGTATATATTTTCCGCGAGGTTATGCTGGGCTGGGTGGCAGGGATAGTCAAAGATCTTGTGCATATACTCCGAGGTATGCAAGTTCCTGTTCCAGAGTTTATAGTCTTTCCCAAGTCGGAGAGTATTGGAGATGGCCGCCTCTCGCTCTGCCACCAAGTCTAGTGGTGGTATCCCTGTTAGGACTTGCAGTGCCGCTGTTGAAGTTGTCCTGTATCCTCTGCTTATTTGCAAAAGGTGTGGGCGTTGGAGTGAGTTAAGTAGGCGCCTCTCTTGTACCGTTAGATGTTTTGCCCAAATGCCGGATCCGTATAAAACTATGGCCTGAGTAACGGTGAGATACCAATGTTTTAGCAGTTTCGATGAAATGCCCCAGGTTGGAGCCGCTGTTCTCTGCATGTAATTTTTAAGACTGTCTGTTTTTATTTTTAGATACTGAAGATACGGAAGCCAGGATAACCTTGAGTCAATGATTAAGCCCAAGTATTTGAGTTGTTTAACTATCTTGATGGGGTTGCCATAAAGTTTGATGGATGGATTCCTTTTGAGAGGTCTTTTGGCGCCTATGAGCAAAGCTTGGGATTTTGAGGCAGAGATCGTGATCTTGTGGTCCCTTGCCCAGAAGCTAAACTTGTCGAGGTAGAATTGCGCTGTCATTTCTAATTTGGATCTTCCATGGACTATAATCAAGAAGTCGTCCGCGTAGGCCAGTATGTCACAGTCCTGGCAATTGTCATCAAATTCCTTGAAGATTGAGTTGGCAACTATCGACCAAAGTACTGGTCCAAGGCATGAGCCCTGGGGGCATCCTTTCTTTAGGTGATGTCTGACTATACCATCGTTCGCTGTATACTGGAGTGTGCGATCGCTGAGGTAACTATGAATTAGCTCTTGTAGTTCTGCCGGGCAGTTCATCTGAGATAAAGCCTGTATAACGTCTGGCCACCACAGGGAGTCAAATGCTCCCTGGATGTCCAGACTAATGATCAAGGAGTGGTGCCCCTTGTTTCTGTTGCACTCTATCAAGTTCATTAACTTGGAGATGGCGTGTTCTGTAGAAAGTCCTCCTCGGAAGCCAAATTGCCTGGGGTCTATGGAATTGTTTCTTTGTAGGAAAAAATTTAGTCTTCCAAGTACTACCCTTTCTAGCAGCTTGCCAAACGAGGGGATGAGACATATTGGCCTGTAGGATGTGGGTTGTTGTGGATCTTTGCCCGTTTTATGGAAGAGTGCTACCTCTGCATTTTTGGTCGATTTCGGAAAGTGTCTATTCTTCCAACAGGCACCGATGTACTCTTCGACTAGGTCAGGCGCAAAAGCATAAATCATGCGTATTACGGCATTGTCTAGCCCGTCCGGGCCTGGTGCCTTCTTTGTGTTTAGGTGTTTGACGATAGCCTCTATCTCATGCCTAGTAGGAGGGGGTTCCAAAGAAGTCTGATATCTGGTGAAGTTATTGAATGAAGTTCTTATCTCTGATTGCGCAAGGTTGTCATCTGTCGGTGGGTCTTCTTTGAAGAGTGACTTATGTATGTAGCTCATTGCTTCGGTTGCACTAGTGGCTGTTGGAGCTACTGACAGGGGGATTTGTGTTGGTCTAAAGACCTTGTTGGTTGCAAGCTTGAAAACCTTGTCGTATTTCTCAACGGTGCCAGGAGTCTTGCTTGGCTATAGAGATCTGTCGCTTATATTGCGCTTGTTGTATTTTGTAACGGGCGAAGAGTGTCCTGCGAACCATTGGCTCCTGTGTGGATTGAGCTTGCCGTCTCAGTTTTCTGAGTTTGCTCCGTTCCTGTGACAATTGGGGTGTCCACCATGAGGCTGATGTCCGAATTTTAATTTTTTTTGTCTTGAAAGTCTTGCGGCAGGCATCAGTGCATTGGTCAATTAATTGGTCATAGGCTTTGTCTAGAGCTGCTCTGGTCGTGCTATTCTGAAGTGCTGTTTTAATAGAGGGGATGAAGGGAGAAAGGTGTTGTTCCAGTTTTTGTGTCCCACCATATGCCGTCTTAAATCTTTGTTTAATTACAATGCTGCGTGGGGATTGCAAGTTAAACATGATAGCTTGATGGTCACTAAGAGAAGGGAAGTCTGCTACTGTCCAGGCTGCAATATGTGAGGATAGCTGTGGTGTTGCCAAAGAGAGATCAGGCCAGCCTCTGGCACGTATTGTGTCAAAGGTGGGAGGGGAGTCGCTTTTATTGAGGATGACCAATCCATGAGAACTTATGAAATCTATGACAGGAAAGGAGCGAGGACTGTCTGTTGGTGAGCCCCAAAGGCGGTTAGCAGCGTTAAAATCCCCGCAGATCAGGATGTGGGTTAGAGGAGTATGGTGTAAGAAGTCAAGTTCAGTTAGGAGGTCGTTGATACTGAGACTAGGGGGAAAGTAGCATGAAATGACCATGAGGCTTCCCTCTATTGAGTCCAGAATGATGGCAATTGTGTGGTTTGTCGTTCTCCAGACCATGGGATTCATTGCACCGTTATAGACGATCATAGCTAGCTTGTTATGGGAAAGAAAAATTTTGTTGTGTGAAGTTGAGCCAACTGGAAGACCTTCTTTAGTAATATAAACCTCTTGAAAGATACCTAAGTCCGCCTGCTGTTGGAATTGGACATGCAGCATGTGACTTGTGGCTACTGAGGATCTTTGTAAGTTACATTGTATGACTTTGAGAACTGGAATTCTTGATCTTTGGGTGTTATCTATTGTTGTCCTGCTGTCCGCAGGAGTTTCTGGACCGCAGTCCTGTATACAGGACATTGTCTTGAACTAGCCGCGTGGTGGCAGTCGTGATCTGTACCTTGTTGCTGATTTGCCAATGTGCAGTTTTTGCATATAGGATGCTCCTTGCAGGATCCTATGGGCATGGAATGTGGGCCTGCGCACTGCACACAAGAGGGTTGTTCTTGGCAATTCCTGCTGATGTGGCCTAGACCTTGACAGTTGAAGCAACGAGGGACACGGAGGTATCTTCTAAAAGGGCAGGAGAAGAAGCCTAAGTAGATGCGGCCGCTAGATCCAAGCCTGTTGAAGTAGTCCCTATCCAATTGGATAATCCAGTTATTCTTGGAGTTGGATTGGTGTAGGGGAGTTCTTGGGTGGATAGTCCCTACTTTGTTGGACGGGAGATGTAACTCAAATGCCGTAACGATGTCTTTTGTAGTGAATTCTTCCGGTGCACCAAAGAGGATTATCGACTCTCTTCTTGGCTTTGGCTCTCGAAGGGTGAGTGAATCTTTTAAAGATGGTACTTGTTCTATTGAACTTTTCAGCTTGAGTAATTGCTCGCGGGTGTTACACCTGACTAAAAGCTCTTTGGATCTTGTGGTGCGAATCTGCTCTATAGGGATGCCCAATCTAGAGGGGTTTAGCTGAGAAGTAAGCTGCTTTTGGATGGCAATCGGGGAAGTGGTGGAATCTATGGGGGCTAGAAGTAGGACGTTGTCCGACAGCTTTTTCTGTGGCCGTTTCTTTTTCCGTTGAATCAAGGTGAATGGACCTCCCTCGTCTTCTTGAACTTCCTGCTGTGCCTCTGCAGTGGTGGGGAGATGAGAGGAGGTTGGAACAGAAACTGATGTTGAGGAAGGTTCGAATAATGTTAGCAATTTCTGCAGGGAATCTGCTTGTCCGTTGTAGACTTCCAGTTGTGCTTGATGGGAGTTTATTATTAATTCCTGTTCAAGCACCAATTTCTGAGCCAGGTCCACAAAGTCCAGGATTATTTTGAGATCCTCTTTGTTCAGTTTGCGTTTGGCGTTGTTGGCTGCCAGGAACCGGGAAATGAAGGCGATCTGAGCCAAAAAGTTCTGCGTTCTTGAAAGGGATGAGTCGATAACGGGTGGACACGGTAAGCCTTCTGATGTAACGGAGGGGGGTGCGGAGGGAGGGAGTGAGGAGTCTTTAGCGGCCATTAGAAAATGGTCATATGATGAAATGGCATACACAGTGATTGACAACAGTATTATGACTGATAAAATGGCGAATTAATAATAAAGGTACTATACACTTAATTGGTAAAAACAAGGACAAAATACAGGATTTAGAAAAAAAAAATTAAACATACATATGCTAATACAAAATCAAAACACTAATTAATGCAATTAAACAAAATTAATAATATAGAATGATGCAGTAATATATTCCAAGATAATAAATACTTCTTTAGATGGTAAAATACCACAATTCATTACTGAGAAATTGATTTACAAAAATAAAGCAGTTGTTTAAGACTTAGAATCTGTCAACTGTAACTCTGTCAACTCTTAGATACTGTCAACAGGTAATATCACATATACGCTTATTAATGTAGGCAATTAAAGAGATAATGCAGTACCAAATATAGAGATAACATAAATTAGCACTCTGGCTCAACAACGAAAATAGCCTAACGAGATTAATTTAACAATGAATAAATGATGTACTTAAGGTATAAATGCAACATTTTAGAGTAAACAATTAGATATATGAACAGTCGTTAGTAATGAAAATCATGAATGCAAGCATTTTAAATACGATTAAAACATCTGTAAATAGCTGGGATATTAAATAGAAAACTCCCCTTAAGTTTCTGAACTACCTAAGCGGCTAGGTTTGAAGATTAATTACTAATTAACAAAAACACATTTTAGCAAGAGATCATTATAAACCACACTAAAGTATATGTAGATTAAGATTAAGAGCTTAGTAAATGTATAAGAACATTTCAAATCAGTTAAAAATTGCTTAAAAGTGACTGTAGCAGCCGAATTTACTTCAGTAAATACTCTAAGACCTGGTTATGCTGAATAGAACCAGTGTTCATAACTTTTATACATATTAATTTTTTTTAATTAAACAAAAAGAATGATCAAAATTCTGCCTCGACAAGTTTGCCAAACTCGATCTACTATATTGATATAAAAATTTTGGTTGTTCTAAGTATATTAGAAAAATATGACACTTTATATTACAAGAGGTACATTGAAGAGTTGACACGCAGACGGGAACCAGTGAACATCTTACTATTAAGATTGCTGTTGCATACAAGATATTACAAAAACATAGTTATTAAACATTTAGATGTGATGTACAAAGAGAAACTTTCAGTTAAGAGTAGATAGGCGTATTAAATGCTAATAGCTGTATTACAATTAATATAAACTATTGAGTTAAAATTGTTCAATCATAGAAACTGTGATACAAAGGAAGTGCCTGTTACTAGGCTCTATTGAGCTGTGTATGTGACCTTTGCCAAGGACGAGTTGTTGTTGCGTCCTCTTGGCAAGATGGCTGACGTAAAAAATCAGAGTCAACAGTACAAAATTACATAAGATATTACGATTTAACTAACAATGCTTTTACATGAATTATCAAAGATATTAGGAAAATACACAGCTCAATAGCAAGTTAAAAATTTGCCTACTTTGGTAATGATGAGATGAACTTGTTACAACGAGGTAATCCAAAGAAATGAATTTTACACAATTAATGCACTAATTTTGAGACTTAGAAAAAAAATCCCATACACTTATCCTATGCTTCACAATGCTGTAAACACGCAATGAACGCTAACAATGACACAACAATAGACGAATCACAAGAACACTTATTACTTGAAAAACTACTGCACGCACAAACACAAAACTTATATCGAATTGCTCCGCTAACACTTAGACAACTGATTATCAACTTTGTTTGCACTTTTAATTAGGATTTCCGCTAATTACGAAAGATAATCCAGGAACTTCAACACACACGTCTTTCCTCCTCGGCGGAGGGATGGGCTCTTGTGTACATGGGCAAAGCCAATGTAGTGCGCAATGCCGAGGTTGTGCGCGGTGCCTAGTTTGTGCAATTCTAGGATGTTTTTTTTAAGTGAAAATAGATCGATGTGTACATGGGCAGAGCCAATGTAGTGCGCAATGCCGAGGTTGTGCGCGGTGCCTAGTTTGTGCAATTCTTGGAATTTTTTTAAAGTGAAAATAGATCGATGTGTACATGGGCAAAGCCAATGTAGTGCGCAATGCCGAGGTTGTGCGCGGTGCCTAGTTTGTGCAATTCTAGGATTTTTTTTAAGTGAAAATAGATCGATGTGTACATGGGCAAAGCCAATGTAGTGCGCAATGCCGAGGTTGTGCGCGGTGCCTAGTTTGTGCAATTCTAGGATGTTTTTTAAGTGAAAATAGATCGATGTGTACATGGGCAAAGCCAATGTAGTGCGCAATGCCGAGGTTGTGTGCGTTCCGGATTTTTTTTTTAAGTGAAAATAGATCGATGTGTACAAGGGCAAAGCCAATGCAGTGCTCAATGCCGAGGTTGTGCAATTCTCGGATTTTTTTTAAGTGAAAATAGATCGATGTGTACATGGGCAAGGCCAATGTAGTGCGCAATGCCGAGGTTGTGCGCGGTGCTTAGTTTGTGCAATTCTCGAATGTTTTTTTAAGTGAAAATAGATCGATGTGTACATGGTCAGAGCCAATGTAATGCGCAATGCGAGGTTGCGCGCTGTGCCTAGTTTGTGCAATTCTTGGAATTTTTTTAAATGAAAATAGATCGATGTGTACATGGGCAAAGCCAAGTAGTGCGCAATGCCGAGGTTGTGCGCGGTGCCTAGTTTGTGCAATTCTCGGATGTTTTTTAAGTGAAAATAGATCGATGTGTACATGGGCAGAGCAAATGTAGTGCGCAATGCCGAGGTTGTGCGCAGTGCCTAGTTTGTGCAATTCTCGGATGTTTTTTAAGTGAAAAATAGATCGATGTGTACATGGGCAAAGCCAATGTAGTGCGCAATGCAGAGGTTGTGCGCGGTGCCTAGTTTGTGCTATTCTCGGATGTTTTTTAAGTGAAAATAGATCGATGTGTACATGGGCAAAGCCAATGTAGTGCGCAATGCCGAGTTTGTGCAATTCTCCGATATTTTTAAGGTGAAAATAGATGGATGTGTACATGGACACCGAGTTTGTGCAATTCTTTGATGTTTTTCGAGCGAATACGGATCGTTGTGTACAAGGGAAAACGAGATAATGTGTGATGCCGAGCTGTAATGTAACGTATTTTATATGCAATGTTTAACATATCGTTTGTGTATTTTAAATTTGTATTGTTGTTTTAATTGTGAATTATATTTAAGACATCATTTTTCATTTAAATTGTATTTTTAATTTTTTGGTTTTGATATGTTTATAATGCTTTCCGACTTACGATATATATCGATAGCCCGACGATCTACTCAACAGTAGCAAAACTGTAAACTTTGACCCTATAAGTAACTTTTACCTCATTATTATAATACGTAGTGTTTGCTATCGTAATTGCACTTGATAATATGAGTTCTTTGATAATATGTGTGTGTGTATGTGAATCATTGCTTAGTGTTCCAAATTTGTAGTATTTATTTTCTTATAATATTTTCTTTCACTGTGGGAAATTAGATTTTTTTATTTATTAATGTGTAGAATTCTAGTATGCCTGCCTACAGAGAATAAGATGTGATTTAGGAATTTAAGAACCTGTCTTTCATTAATGTGAAGTTTAGAATTTTTAGAAAATAATGAAAATTGTCTAGTTACTGGCATGTAAGGGATTATGTCGTTATGTAGCAAAACGTTAATTTGTAAATATGATAGTTCCAAAGTATTAATTTA